TTGTCCCATGGGCTGCATGGTTGTCCCATGGGCTGCCTGGTTGTCCCATGGACTGCATGGTTGTCCCATGGGCTGCATTGTTGTCCCATGGGCTGCCTGGTTGTCCCATGGGCAGCCTGGTTGTCCCATGGGCTGCATTGTTGTCCCATGGGCTGCATGGTTGTCCCATGGGCAGCCTGGTTGTCCCATGGACAGCCTGGTTGTCCCATGGGCTGCATTGTTGTCCCATGGGCTGCATGGTTGTCCCATGGGCAGCCTGGTTGTCCCATGGGCTGCCTGGTTGTCCCTCCTTCTCTGTGTTTCCTCTGCTTGTGCTTTCTGGCCATCCATCTGTTGATCCATCTGTAGATTAACGTTGTCCTTCCATCCTTCCTGGGTCTGTCTGCGTTTCTGTCCATCCGTTTTGTTGCAATTCTCTTTCTGTCCATCCAGTTTATTTATCTAGCTGTCCGTCTGTCCTCTGTCCAGCTGGCTCCATAGCTTCCCGGCCTTTCAGGAGGTTCTCCACCCGGGAATCCATGCACACATCCATCCACCACCCCCTTGTCCATCCTTCCATCCATCCATCCGTTTATAAATACTCACACCCACCCACCCCTCATCCGTTGACCCGTCCTTCTGTCCATCCATCTCTACACCCACTCATCTATTCGCCCATTTGTTTCTACATACACCTACCCATCCATCCATCCATCCGTTTGCCCCAGGACCTGTCCATCTGTCTGTCCACCAACCCATCAACCAACCATCCTTATATACATCCCTCCAACCACCCATCCATCTGTCCTCCCATCCATCCTCACCAACCCCGTCTATCTATCCATCCACCTGACCACCCAACCACCTTTCTATCCATCCATCCATCCTTCTGTTGTCTCTCTTCATGTCTTCATATCCATCTACCCCTTTGGTAGGTTAGGAGGTCTTCCTGGTTGCCCATCTGTCCTTCAAAAGCTTTGGGGTTTTGATCAGGACCAGATGGAGGCATCTCCATTAGGAGACTGCTCATTCAGACACCCCGACAGGGCCATATAGGCAACGCACCAAGGCCTGGGTCTCTTACAAGATGAGGAGAACATCTCCATCCAACCCCTATGGCTCAGTCCAACTGTCTGTGTCAACATCCAACCCCCAATGTCTCATTCCAACTCTCTGTGTCACCATCCAACCATGTCTCCACCCAATCCCTCATGTCTCCATCCAGTCCTCCATGCCTCCATCCAGTCTTCCACGTCTCCATCCAATCCTCCATGTCTCCATCCAACCCTCCATGTCTCCATCCAACCCTCCATGTCTCCATCCTGTCCTCCATGTCTCCACCCAATTCTCCATGTCTCCACCCAATTCTCCATGTCTCCATCCAATCCTCCATGGCTCCATCCAATCCTCCATGGCTCCATCCAACCCTCCGTGGCTCCATCCAACCCTCCATGGCTCCATCCAATCATCCATGTCTCCATCCAACCCTCCATGGCTCCATCCAACCCCCTACATCTTCTCTCAATCCTCAACGCCTCCATCCAACCCTCTTGTCTCCATTCAACCCTCAAAGTCTCTGTCCAATCCCCAGATTCTCCACCCAGCCCCAATTTCTCATCCAACCCCCAACTTCTCATCCAACCCCAACTTCTCATCCAACCCCCAACTTCTCCATCCAACCCCCAACGTCTCCGCCCAACCCACGTCATCTCCATCCTTCCTCCTTTCCACGTGAAAAGGGGGAAACGGTTCCTCCTTGTCTTCGCTTTCTGGCAGCTCCCAACAGAAACTGCCATCTGCAAAATCTGCTTTCGTTTTCCCTCCTCTTTATTTGAAATCCTGCCTCATTTTTGCCCCTTTTGAGGAGAAAACCCACTTAACCCCAACCTGAGACCACCAGAATCTGCACCCGCTCCCCTCCATCCCCACCCTCATTAGTCACTGCTAAAGAAACAAACTGTTTTGATGGATTTATGTCCCCGCTTGGGGTGTGTGTGATCTGGCAAGTGTCGTCTTGCCTGGATAATTAGCCGCTGTGCTAATTAAATACACGGTGCGGAGCAGAGATTCACCTTTCCCTCCGATTCTCTGCCCTGGTTGCACCATAAAACAGTCATCAGGTCCCGGGGTGTTTTGGTGCCAGGAAAAGCAGCCCGGGGTGGAGGTTGGAGGGTTTCGCAACACCCGTTTGCACGTGGTCCTACCGGCTCCGGAAGGATGCGGTGGGGAAAGGACAACGTGGAGCGGGGATGTCACCCTATGAGGGGACAGGGGACAGGGTGAGGTGGCTCCATCCATCCCCATGGCCAAAATCCGACCCAGTTTAGCCCCCGTTTTTGGGAGCCCGTTTTTGCACCGGGGCTGGTTATGGATCTGCTGGGGAAGGTCGAGTGGCCAAAACACCCCAAGGATCCCGAATCCCAGAAAACTTCATCCTCTAAGGGTAGGAAAAAAAAACCTCTGGAAATGGAAAAATTCCATTTTTCAATTCTGGAAGAAAGAGGAAAAATGTCTGGAAAGGGCAATTCTCACCGAAAGGCAGCACAAAACCCTCCAGAAACAGCAACAGCCACCAAAAAGGAAGGCAAATCCCTCCAGAGAAGCCAACCCTCCCCAAAAGGTAGTGTTAAAAATCTCAGCAAAGAGAAATTCGCCCCAAAAGGCAGGGGGAAAACACTCCTAAAATGGCTATTTCTTCCCCAAAAGGGTGGAGAAAACCATCCCGCAAGCCGGTTGTCCCACAAGAGCGATGGTTGGTGTTGTTCTGCTTTTAGCAAGTGACCGATCGGAATTAATCTCACCCCAACGCCGCCAACGCTTCCTCTGCAGCTGTGGCTGCCTCATTTGTGGTGGCCAAATGCTCATTTTTTTTAAAAAAAATCATTTTTTTCCTAGTTAGCTGTTGATCTGACGATGGTTTGGGGTTGTTTTGCACCTCTCTTTGCACTTGGTGGGAGAGGGATCAGGAGGAGCTGTTGGTTTGGGGGTACGTGAGGGTGTTGCACAAGCAGGGGACATGGGTGGACATGCAGGGCACACGCGTGTGCAACATGCAGGGGCTGGCACGTGCACAATGCACACACAGCAAGGTGGGCACGTGTGGCACACGCATGCAGGATGTGGGCACACGCATTGAGGCATGAGCGTGGTGCATGCAATGCAACGCATGCACGTGTGAGCACACGCATGCAGGATGTGGGCACACGCATGCAGGACGTGGGCACACGCATGCAGGACATGGGCACATGCACTGAGGCATGAGCGTGGTGCATGCAATGCAACGCATGCACATGTGAGCACATGCAACACGCGTGTAGGGCAGTGCACAGTCATGGTCTCTGTTGAGGCATGAGCGTGGTGCATGCAATGCAATGCACGCACGTGTGAGCACACGCATGCAGGACGTGGGCACACGCATGCAGGACATGGGCACATGCATGCAGGACATGGGCACACGCACTGAGGCATGAGCGTGGTGCATGCAATGCAACGCATGCACGTGTGAGCACACGCATGCAGGACGTGGGCACACGCATGCAGGACGTTGCAACACGAGTGTAGGGCAGTGCACACGCATGGTCTGTGTTGAGGCATGAGCGTGGTGCATGCAATGCATGCACGTGTGAGAACACGCGACACGCATGTAGGGCAGCGCACACGCATGGTCTGTGTTGAGGCATGAGCGCGGTGCATGCAATGCAATGCACGCACGTGTGAGCACAGGCATGCAGGACGTGGGCACACGCATGCAGGACATGGGCACACGCATTGAGGCATGAGCGTGGTGCATGCAATGCAACGCACGCACGTGTGAGCACACGCAACACGCGTGTAGGGCAGTGCACCCGCATGGTCTGTGTTGAGGCATGAGCGTGGTGCATGCAATGCAATGCACGCACGTGTGAGCACAGGCATGCAGGATGTGGGCACACGCATGCAGGACGTGGGCACATGCATTGAGGCATGAGCATGGTGCATGAAATGCATGCACGTGTGAGCACACGCGACACGCGTGTAGGGCAGTGCACACGCATGGTCTGTGTTGAGGCATGAGTGTGATGCATGCAATGCAACGCATGCACGTGTGAGCACATGCAACACGCGTGTAGGGCAGTGCACACGCATGGTCTGTGTTGAGGCATGAGTGCGGTGCATGCAATGCAATGCACGCACGTGTGAGCACACGCGACACGCGTGTAGGGCAGTGCACACGCACGCTGCACGCCCTATACGGGGTGCACGTGTGTTGTGGGGTGCACCAAGCGTGCCAGATGCACACGTGCAATGCTGTGCATGGAAAATGCACGTGCAACCGGGTGCACACGCGGGATGGCATCGCACACACGGAGCCGGTCCTGGGGGTTGCTTTGGGAATCTGGGGGTGAATCCCGGAGCTCCGGGGGGTTCTGCTCATCCCGGGGATCCCTCCTGCACCCCAAGAACGAGCCTGGGCTCCCACGTGGGGTTGGACCTTTATTGGCGCGGGTTGGGGGTCCCCGGGGGTCATCGCGGCTCCCGGCCGCCCACCTCGGCGTAGAGGACAGAAGGGGCAGCGGTGACGGGGACCCTGGGGACACCGGGTGCCATTGGCTGTAGCTCCGCGTACGTCAGGCCCTCGGTGTCCTCCTGGGGCTGTAGGACACGTGGGGACACATAGGGACACGCGTCGGTGGACGTCCCGGAGACAGCAATGTGTGGGGGGTCCCCCACAACCTTCATTTGGGGGTTACCATGGAATGGGTATGGGGGTCCCCATGTGTTGGGTATGGGGGTCCCCATGGGTTGGGTATGGGGGTCCCAATGGGTTGGGTTGGGGTCCTTGTGGTTAGGGTCTGCAGTAGGGCTTAGGGGGGGTTCCTCAGCAGTCTTGGGGGG